AAGGGAAGTCAAAATTATAATGCAGACATTTTTATAAACGTTGTAAATTTCTAATACAAACACTGACAAATTTATGCAGAAACAGTTTTCGCATTAACAATGCGTCTTCACTTCCCGCCATTTCTTTTACCTGTTACTCCAGGTAAACTGGGGAGTATACTCGTGTAACACGAGTTGATCACCCGTGTCGAAGATAAGTTGTTTTATTTACAACTCTAGTGACTCGTGTAACCCGTGTCGCTTAATCGAATATACCCCAAATGCAGCCTCTGTGAACAACGGAAAGAAAGTCGACTTACTGGTATGACAAACAATTTATAACACATTTTTTGTTAATTAAATGATTGTATATTGCACTATAGTTACCACTTCCATTTTTTAAACCAAAAATACTGTTCACACAATTTATATATTGTATTATATATTAAAAGTACACGAGTTAGAAAAATATTCTACATTCTTATAAAATAAAAGTTGGATTACGAATAAAGATTGTTTACACAATTATAATGAACCAATGTTGATTTGTATATTTCTTATTGCAAGGAGTTGCATTTTATGCCTACATGTCGAGAAGTGTCATGGTCAAAACATTTTCCAAACACAAAACATTTAAACAATAAAATGCTTTCTTTGTTTGTTGTTATTGGAATGAACGGAAGACAGCTATTACAAGAAAAAAATACATAACCCGCGTAAGCGGGTTATGTAAATTTTTTCTGCAATAGCTGCGACCGTTCATTCCAGTAACAACAAACAAAGAAAGCATTTTATTGTTTATATTTATATCGTTTTAATAATCAATTAAAGTAGGATTAAAAAGATTAATTATTGTATTAATGATGCGAACGTCTTTATACGTTTCATTGATGGAACAGCCACTGATTAAGAAATCTGTACAGGCGACCTGCCTACTGTAGTTTATGCAGTGATGAACGCAATGGGGTTTCTTAAGAAATAAAGGAGAAAATATTCAGTGGATGTAAATATTTGTCTATGACCGTGTTGAGACCAACATTGGAAACGGATATGATGCCAGGTCCGGGAAATTTACTGCTCCCGAGAGTGGGGTCTATGTATTTCACTCCTCTACAACAGCAATTGACAAATCTCATTGCTCAGTGGAAATTGTACAAAACAATACTGTCAAAGATATAGGGTGGGCTGATGCTATGGATCATAATGACAGGGCCTCTGCATCTACAATGACCATTCTGAATTTGAAGAAAGGTGATATTGTCAACACACGAGTCGGTGTCACTTATGGGGGAAACTACATGGAAAGCAATCAATATGTAAAAATGACTTTCTCTGGGTTTAAACTCGTGTAATGTACAGAAACATACTTTGAAAATAAATAATTGGTTTATATATTTTCGTTTCTTTCTTGTGTATTTGTCCATTCTGCATTACTGTTTCAAGGAATTTCGTTTTATACGTACATTTTGAACAGTGTCATGATCTGTACTTTTTCCGTGTTTTTTTTTTCATACTCGTATGTAATTTTTTTTTTTTTTTCTTTCTTAGGTCCTTCAAAAGAAGTTATTAAAAAAAATGAATAATTTATAATTAAAATGTAGATCATCCTTTTCTAAAGCTTTTCATCAATCTCAACTTGCTGTCAAAGTAGAAATAATTTACAACGACAAATACAACTGACATTTTACCGACTCAAATGTTTATATCTGTTAATAATTTAATTCTGTTTGTATTCTTGTCTCTCATTGGTTGATTTCCAAAAAGGAACGCATAACATTTTGTATAATCTGGTTTGGTATGGGGACACACCCCCTTGACAACCAGCTGAATCATCTGTATCCATCAATCCCCTCATTTCCAGTCCTTCGGATTCATGAAAAATTCCAGATTTAATGAATGTACCTTTAACTTCAAACAGTTGCTCGATCTTACCTCATGTAAACAAGCATCATGGCTGCTAGATCTATGTATCAGTTTTTACCTCCCCTTGCTTCCCATCACTTCCGTTACTATGGTTGTATTATTGCGCGGTAAATTTGAACTAATAAAAACAACACAATTTTACATCCCCAGTTGTTTAATTATTTTAAAATTAAATTATAAGGAATGAATCTAATTCTTGGCCAGATTATCGAGTATAATATGGTTTGGGTCAGTTTACGCTTTTTTATAATCCGCTTCGCGGATTATAAAGCGTAAACTGACCCAAACCATATTATACTCGATAATCTGGCCAAGAATTAGAGTCATTCCTTAAATAACTGAAATATCTTTACTCTCTGCTGAAGACAAAACTATACTATACTGCTGAATATCTACACAATACTAATAGTTTAACAAGATGTGTTTGTGAAACAATATGCGCCTGGCGGCAACAAAGTTCGAAAAGGCAATTTTTAGCATACGGGTCACAGTCAAGGTCACACGATCATTGTCCTTGGTGTCAGGTGTCATTTGAAAGAACTTGATTAGTGGAGTATGCATACCAAATACGAAGTATCCATCTCTTATCACAGTCACAGTCACAAGGTCATTAACCTTGGTGTCATTTGAAAGTGCTTAATTAGTGGAGTATGCATACCAAATACGAAGTCTCTATCTCTCATGGTTCAAAAGTTATGGTGAACGTTAATGTTGACAACAGACAACAACACAGATAATACCACAAATATATACGCCCCAATCTATCGATTCAGGCACATAAAAATAACACACTAAAACTGTATTATGATAAAGAAAACATAATAAATTGATGATAAGAAGCTACGATTTCAAATAACTTGGTAAGGGTAAACCTATTTACTTAACTATTGTGAATACAGATGTCAAACACAAGGATTCAGAACAAAGACCTTGGTTATACTATGAATCTAGCAGTACAAAACCCAAACTCCAAATTTCAACTCCCATACAAATGATTTAAAAAATGAATCAAACACCAGCAACAAACTAGAGAACACATTTTTTATATACCATATATATAATATCATAATTCTTACAGGTATCATATTTGTCTACTATAGAAACAAAGACTTCTTACAACTTTACAGTTGAACACATTTCAGTCTGTAATAAAAAGATGTCATTTATTTTAAAAGACCTTCATTGAACAATATAAGAGATAAATACACAAGTATCACAGCTAATTCAAATTCATAATTTTTAAAATTCTTTCATGAGCAAACAGAACACTTCTGACATTAAAAGAGGCAGATGTATGCACTCTTTTACATACGAGTCCAACTTATTAATTCTGTGCTCTACACTCAGGGAAAAGGCTAACAATTTTGCCCATGTCATTTTTTGGATTTTATTTGACAATGAACACTAAAAGGAGATCAATATTTTACAATGTTTTAACAATTATTAATAATATAACATAAATATATAAATAATTAAATAAATAATTAAATATGATCATGAGAATAATTAAATATGATAATTCGAAATAAATCTGAATATAACTCCATAATGTACATGTAAGACTATATCAAATCATATTCATCTGCATAAAATTCAGATTACAACAAGCACATTTCAAAACATTAACTATTGCACCTGTTCATATTGACACAAATATTGATTTTTAATCACAGTCTAACTGATAAAAAAAAACTCCATAAAGAATTTTGTACTCATTTCACATGTATTCATTTTACATGAAACTCAATAAAACACATCAGTAAACAGATGTATGGAATGTAACTGATCCAAATGTTCAGTTTTATAAGTATTAGAATATAACAGAATCTTATAACTTAGAAACTTGATAAATGGCTCCATTTCCTTGTTGAGCAGGTTTGATGTATTTGTGGTAGGAATCAAGAACCTGAAAAGAAGGAAAAATCATTTATAGCAGAAGAGTTATACATTGTATGTGTAGCTTTAGACACCTGTGTACCGACTCATATGCATACTTACAAAAATATTCTACCAGAAATCTGAATATATCTAAATAATATGATATTATGTGAGGGGTTTGTACAAATACTTGTTTTTACCTCCTTTTCATTGAGTGGAGAGCTTTTGGCATAGTCATACAGAGCCTGATAGACCTGACCATCATATCGTCCCAAACAGCTCTGGAGCACCTCGTCTGGATAATCGAATGCATCCACAAACGCTACAGCATTGGGTCTGATCTCAGCCAGCAATGCCATCAACTTCTTCTGCAGGAAGCTTACTTGATTGGAATCAAAGAATCCATCCTTGAAAATTAAAGAGCATACAAATATAATTTACAGTTGCTTTATCTTCCATACAAGCACATTACCCAGCAAGCATTAAATTCCAAAATTTATCACTGTGACAGCTATGTCTTTAAATTTATCAACTTTTAAAGAAAATGTTTCCCTTGATCATGGAATATTTTGATCAATCTTTAAAAATTTTGAAATTTGTACAGACCTGAATAAATCCACCCAGGTTCTCCACAATTCCATGAACGGCATACAGCTTACACAAACCAGTCAGAGCTGGCCTCACTTTGGCATCCATCTTGGAATCAGTTATCGTCTCAACAAAATGTTTCACAACAAAGGCATGGCAATGGGCCTTAAAGGAAACAAAAAAAAAATTTTAATTGAGCAAATGACTTTACACGCAAATTACAAACCAATGTAGATAAAAATAAAGTGCCACGCCACAGCAGGATACGCCTGTCAAAAAAATTACAATTATTTTTTTTAGTTTAGAGTGCAAGAAAATCATGTCAACCTTGATTCTAAGATTTCCATGATTTTTCCATTCCTTAAAATATTTGTTTATCATTCCCTGTTGTATAAGCATTAATACCCAATTATTTATGACAAATATTACATTGATAGATTTCTATCCTAGTTGTGTTAAGACCTTTGTCAAATGCCCATCATATTAAACAATATAAAATTAGTCTTAACAACTTAATCTATACCCAATTGATTTTGAAAATAAAAGGCTGGTCATCAAATGAATTATGCTATAAACTGACCAACATTTCTTCTGTCTAATATCCCAAGGGATACAGAAAAGACTCTTGGTCACAGATGCTCTAAAGAAATGATTGAGACAGCTAGCCTTCCTACATTGAACTCATTAATTTATCTTTGACTGAATATTTTTGCTACTCATTACTACCAAGAAATGAACCAATCTGCTCTATCTACCATAAAACATTTGATTTTTAAAACATATAAAATACTCTGTGATCTTTTTTTTAGATTTAATATCTATAATATCAGATTAAGAAATACGCACGCTAACTCTGATTCCCGCCTACATTTTGGAACCATTTAATTCAAAATCAAAAGCAATTTGGCCATAAAATATTTGTTTAATACAAAGAACAGTTCAATGATAATTGATGAATTGTCTTGATACCAGCGCTAAACAGTAAATTATACATAATTCTAGCTCTTGAAAAAAGGGGGGTAGAATGATATTTTCCATTGAAATCGGAGTTTCAGGCATCACCATATTATGAAATAGTCTTGGATATGATAAAATGTTCCTAATATATTTTCTTGTGTCTTAGACAAATAAAAAAACATGAATATGTCAAAAAAATATAATGTTTCAGTTTTAAATCGCTTTGAAAATGGTGGAAATAAATATTTTTATCTTTTTTTGTCAATAAACATATGTCCCCCCCCCCCCCTTGTCACATAAAAAGCTTTGGTATGAATTGGTAAAATAACGGTCCATATAACCTGTAAAAAGGAATTTTTGTGTCACGGGGGATGTTTTAAAAATATTTTCCATTTTCCGTTGATTTCTATAGTGAAAAACACAAGTTTTACCAAAATTTTAGAGTTATCTCTCTTTGTTTTCCCAAATAAGTAATGTTTTATGAAAATCCATATAATTATCTATAAAAAAAATTAAAAATTTATCAAACATGTTAACTTTTGAAAATTGACTTGGAGGTAGGCGGGAGAACAATACTATCTTTCGCAGTTCTTTATTATGCAATATCAATTAACCCCTTCACTTCCGTACCGGTCAAACTGACCGGTGGCGCGTTAAAACACGACTTCGCAAAAATAAGATCTACGTATCTATTTTATGGTAGCATGAAGGTATATAAACTATATATCATCTTTTTGGAAATTTTCTCTAATTTTAAAATATCTAAAAAGATTATGTCTTGATAACCGGTATTTAATCTATTTTACGTTTTGAAGACAAACGTGACTTTTTGGAAATGGCGTAATTTTCCAAAGCAATTGCCGATTTTCCAGACGATTGACATTTTTTTCCTGATTAACTTTTTAAATAAATATGGTATATTCTTAAGCATATTTTCTCTGCTTATAAAATATGTAAGAATTATTGTTATTACTTTAAAGTATATTTTAAAATCAAGAATTTCTTGCACTGATGTGTTTTTTCTCGATTTTATTCGTAATGTTTAAACAAAGCTCAGTTTTACGTTTATTTCTGTGTTGAAATAGGGAAAACAAAATAAAGCTAGTAAAAGTAGAGAAAATTTCCTTTCCAACGAGCCCTTACAGGCCTTCTTACGCTCAGTATTTTCCTAATTACGATAATTTGAATTTGTGACCTTCGCATAGATTTTATGGAAAAATCGGTCAATATATACATAACGTCAAGGTCGATATTGTTGCGTCTTACGAAACAACAAATTCTTTTATAAGACTTTTTTGACCATTTAAATACATTTTTTACTGAAATAAATGCATAATACAAAAAATAGATTTCAAAAAACAAATATATACTATCGTTCTGCCTTTTGTGAAGTGAAATGTTAATTTATCCATCTACATGTAATGATGTATATTTCATGTAGTGATATACAATGTTGATAAATATTGTAGATTCCCTAAATGTCGATCTTAACTGAAAAAAATCAAAAAAATCAGATTTTTAATATTGTTGTATCTTGTTATACTGTATACTTAGTTTGCAATTTAATTAACGTTAAATCTATATTGGCACGAAATTTAACAATACAAAAACTCGCACTTATAAATAAATACGACTAATCACTGTATGAGTTGATACGAATTGAAATAACCACGTGTTTCCGCTGTGGTGTAAACATGATGGTGATCCGAAATCTGAACGTCAATTTTCATGATTATTTCACGACGAAGACCATCACATCAATGAATCAAATAATACGGACATGCCTTTGGTATTAGCAGGTGAGAATACTTGTATATTGACTGAATAGTTTAAGTTTAAAACGCATTAGTTCACGTTATAAAGAAAACTAAATGTACACATGTACTAGATCTTCATGTTTCACTGTGCGTATTTCGTACTGTTCAGCCAGTTTTGTGTTGCTTTTGAACTTTGATGCTTTTGACAATCACTCGTAAGTTCAAAGTAAAATCAAAGTTGCCATAATAATGGATAGTTTATTAATTGTTTTCAGTATGTGTGTACCAGTGAGTACATGTACCACTTTCACATTGACTTTTTAGGGTGCCAGCACCAGATGCAACAATACTTTCATCTGTGAATACCCACTTGTTCAGCCCACCATAAACCACGAAGGCCAATTAATATGTAAGGACACCAATGAACAGGTAAATTTTTGTTTTGGTATTGAAAATTTCTGTATTTCTAAAATTTCAAAAAATAAAGTCAATTTATATTTGTGTCATTCTCATGATATTGCATTCATACAAGTTTATAAACATTTGATTTATATTTTGAAAAATAAGTGTTTGAAAAACAAAATACATATGATGCTTGATTATTCATACAAACACATTATTTAAACACGTAATATCTATTTGAATGAATACCGAGATATGGAACAAGCTGTTTTTATAGACTGCTGTTGTATTTCTAATCTGCATAAAGTATGTGGTTAGAATTTCCATTTTCTCAATTTTTCAGACACTTTCCAATTATCGTACACCATATACATGGGTGGTCAAACTCACTGGATGGTTTATCAACACTCCCATCCTCACGAACAGCCTTGCCCCAGGAATTTTGCCCTGAAGTAACATTTGCAGTCAATTGTCTCCTTTCTTTTTACAACCCTGGCAGCCATACAGGTATGCAATCTATGAAAGCCATGAAGGGACATAGAATTTAAAAAAATTATAAAATTTAAAACCTAGTTCTTGATTTATACAATCCGTTTTCTCGGATTGACAATCTGTTATAACAAATTGCCAATTCATTCTCACAGATTATCAATTCGTTCCCTCAAATTACACAATCCGTTATCTCAGATTGTATAATTCATTCTCTTAGTTTAAATGATTCGTTCCCTCGGAATGTAAACCCTTCCCGTGATTTCATTAAAATTATTTTTCTGTACATATCGAATATGGTAATACATGTTTAAAGAATATAATACCGAGTATTGTAGTATTTTACATCCTACCTTTCATTACATATTACGGTCCAAAATGAGAAAAATACATGAACATTTTTAAATCCATATGCTAGTACTGATATTTGTACAACAAAAAATCTTAGAGGTTTTTGTGTCACGTGTATTATAAGAATAATTGAAAGTCCTAAATAGTAAAAGTGAATATGGGTTCTGTGTAATCATAATATTTCTAAAATAAATATACGTTGAGTTAGTTATGAAAGAGGTTGGAAACGAATGGTTGCTGAAACAAAATAAATAGAACGCACTAATTGATTAAAATGGATGGATGTATCTGTACATATATGTAATGAAATTCAAGAGCACAGATTGCCAAAATCATAAGACTGACATTGTAACAAATCTATATCTCAAATTATTAATCTGTGAAAAAGAATTACCGGTATGTAATTTGAGATCTCAAATTATGAATCAAGGGGGCGACTTAGTAATCCGTAAGATTGGATTGTCTAATTCGAGATCTCATTTTTTACTTTTTTGAAAAATACCCCTTCATGGTTTTCGTAGCAATCTAATTAAAATTAGATCTTCAATCCACTGCCAGATTTTTTTTTATATGTTGCGATAGCATAAACAGAGGTCTGGCTTTAGTCAGATTGCCAAATATGCTATTTGTTTTAGTTCAGTAATTTTACCATGATGGTTTACTACAAGGTTGTTGAATTATCAGTCCTGATACATTGACTTAACAATATCATTTAACTTCTTGAATCATATAATAAATACAATTTTAATTTTAAAGGGAAAATCAAATAAATATAGTAATTTTAGCATTCTTAATTTTATTTATAAATGTAAATTCATATACACAATGACATGTACCTGTTTCAAAATATTTAAATCTGTTACAGGATAGAAGCTGATCACTTGTACTTGACAGCAAATAATAATGTCTTGGACAAGCCAAAGAATTTCCTCCAGTCTTACAGAGAAATGACAGTTTATAAAAGAATAGTGGACACAAAGTGAAAGTGCTCTTCAACATTTTGTGGAAGATTTCAGTCTGATTTGGAATTCATCTTGCAAAATTTCTGGATTTATATTTGGATTTAAACGTCACATTTTCAACTTATTGACTAAACAGTTTTGCGTTAAATATTGCCAATGCTATCTATTATTATTATTTTTCCTCCAAGATAACATGTCAAGTCTTTATTGTACCCCTTAAGCTCTGTTATACCAGAAAAATTTTGTAATGAAATCATTTAGTTTATTTTTTCTTGTTAGATTAAATCCATGTAAATAAAGATTATTTTTAATGGCATCAAGAGAATGGATTTTTTTGTTTAACAAAAAGATTGTATGCATGTTTTTCTAGGGGTTTATAAGAAGCAGAACAGAATTCTTTGCTTGCAAATTTTGTTGTTCGCCATTTTTTATTACGTCAACTATAAGATGATTGATCCATGATTGAAGCATTTCAAAATTGATATTTACTTACAATTTAAAGCAGGATTCTGTACTGATATAACCTTGACCCCCTTAGAAGCAAGAGTGTCAAGGTCAATTTTTAATACAAAAATGTTCTTTCATCTTTATGGCCTATACAATATCATGAAATATACAAAAAGTGTCTAGAATGTGTCCAGAATGTGAAATAACAAACATGTATATAGCCAAAAAACTTTAAAATGTTGTTGCTTAGCAACCACTTAGAGGTCATTAAATAGATATTTAAACTAAAATGATGCATGGATATTGCAGTTCTGATCCCTTCTTGAGAGTATATTCAGAATTTTCCATTTCAGCATCCATTGTGTAAAATTATGGCAAGAGTATTGAAAAGTGTTGAAAAAAATTGATGAAACTTTTGCACTTATTTGACCTTTGACCTCCTAAAAATAGTTCTAATGAGGTCAAACTTTAAGACAATTTATCTGCTGTTCGTCCCTTATAATTTTATGACCTCATATCTAACTTTTATATGTGCTGGGATGCATTAATGTGTCTAGGATGAGTAATAAACGAAAATTCTTGCCCGAAAATTAAAAAATTCTGGGTTGCTAAGCAACCGCTTTTAAGTAGTTATATGCAGAATTGAAAAAAAAGTTTATATGTTTCATGTAGTTCAGTATCATGTTCTTTTGTGAGTATATCCAAAATTTCCTATTTCAGTATACATCATAGTAAATATTTAGCTTGAAGATTAAAAGTATTAAAAAATTCCATAAAATTTTGCACTTAATTGACCTTTGACCTCCATTTTTACTAATAAGGTCAGTTGTTGAGTATCTGACTAGTCATAAAATATCATCTCTAAGACATTCCCTACAAAATGGTATGCAATATAGCTAGCTTTCTCCTTGAATAAAAAAGTTGGAAATAATTTAATAATGTCATGTCAAACTGTCTACAAAATCACCTAAAATGTGCCGGTAGAGAAAGGGTTAAAATGCTAAGACTAGCCAACAAGAGCTATTTTTAATCCAACAGGCTGACCCATTTGCCCAATTCCCAAGGGATATAGATAACACCTGCTTGATCAGAGATGCTCTACCAGTTAGCTCCTCACACTAGACTCAGTAATTTCTCTCTAATTTGACATGCAATTTTCTGTTACATGTATCAAAATTCTTCTTGACCAGTGCTTGATAATTACACTCATGGGAGCATTGGAATTTTTCTAACATACATTATATTTGTTAAAGACTGCTGTCAAGTATATGCTGAAAAAATAAGTATTTCTTGATTTAACACTTTTTTAATAAGGATAGTGCAATACTCTTACATTTTTGGGGATGTGTAAATGAAGAGTAAAAAGACACTTATTTAAAAAAAATTTCATTTAAATTCAACAACTACTTCTTTCTGACCTTGAAATAGGTCAAAACACACCTTCTACCTAAGATGCATAAACAGGCCAAGTTTGATGATTCTAAGTCTAACAGTTCTCTAGTTATGGGCCGGAAAGGATTTTTCCATATTTGGCTATAACTTCTTAATTAAAGGGTAAAGTGACCTATTTTTTTGTGCACAACACACATTCTACCCAAGATGTATCAGCTGACAAAGTTTGATAACACTAGGCCTTCTAGTATTAAAGTTATGAGCCAGACAGAAGAAAAGCTAGCATTTGGACAGCTAGACAGGCGGTCAGATGGACAGCAGGATGGACAAGAAGCCTATAACATATGTCCCGTCTTAAGACAGGCGTATAAAAACTGATCATACAATTAAGTGCTTCTTTCAACAGCTGAAGCATTGCCCTTGATAAATATTATTAAACTTATTGAGAGTGTACATTGCTGAAGCTGAAACCAATACACCTGTCTTTCTTAGGTACTTACTGTAGCTGCCCATGTCAGCATTACTGTAGATCCATTCCAGGCCTCCACTGGAGATTTCCCAGACTGTACCAAGTTCTGCATGTTGACAGCTGCATCTCTTACTGTTCTACAAGTCCAAGAAGACTGACACTAATATATAATATACTTCTGCGACGATGTTTTTTTATCATATTAGCCAACTACTTTTCTTCCTTACTAGAAGACCAGAATTACCTTGCTGCTCTGTTTTCATAAGCCAATACTAAACATTTCAGGGCCACTTCCTCAGTCATGCATGACCTCTTATTGAGGTCAGTGCCTAAATACTGCATAAAACTTGGCAGTGATTCTCCATTTTGCATTTTCCCATACATCTTCATCAAAAACCTTCCAATAAAAAATAGATGCTAATTACAAAACAATGTGCACATGACTGTACACACAACATATACATCATACAAGAGAATATGTCCTAAAAGTAACCAAGATTTCTTACTGATTTTTTACCTGGCCACTTGGAGCATCATGACATTGTTTTCCCCTTCATAAGTACAGCCAGGAACACAGTCTATATAAATCTTAGGCAGACCGCTGGCGTGGGAGTAGCCATGCCCCCCACAACACAGACGACATGTCTCCACCCCCGCCGAACACGTCCAGGAGCTGAAGGCCTTCAGTCCCGCCGAAATGGCGTGGAGCTGAAAAATCAAGTTGTCTGATTATGTATATGATTTTACATTTATTTTTAATGAAATTTTTTAAAAATTGTTTTGAAATCTCAATTCTGACACTCTTTTTTCAAAAATAATCTTACTATCTAACTGATATTTGCCACCGTAAATAAGTAGAATTGAGATTTAAAACAAAAAGGTCTTTCATGTATAAGTATGTAGATGAAAAAGATTAAGCAATGCAAAATTGAATTAAACAATATGATTACATCTGAAATAGTTTTGTAGTTTTGTTTACAGTTTTCAACTTACTCTCAAGTAAATTAATAAACCTTAATTTGTAGTTCAGATCTCTCAAAAAAAGGGGGGGGGGGGATCATTAAAAAAACTAGAAAAGAAACTCGTTGCGAGCAACGAGAGGTCTTCCGTCCAATTCTGGAAAAAACCCGCAAAATCGAGCTGAAAAGTGATATAACTTTTTATGGAAACAAAGGGGATTGAACCCGGGTCGCCAGCGCAAAAATCCAATGCGCTGACTATTACATGTACGCTATTGAGACCACAGCTTTAAATATACATTTATATACTTCTGCAACAGTACATCTGTCTTAGAATAATGAAAGGTGGGTCACTATTCATAATTTTGCGTCAAACGAATCGAAGAAATCTTCGAGCCTTTTTCTTTGGAATGTTCTATTAAATAGGTGTGATAGTTTCAATGGAAATAAAAAAAAAATGTCCGTATAGCTTAAATTTCATTGTTTAGAAAGTATATTTAACGCATTTACACATTCCATATCGTATATAGATAAGTAGCACTAAATCAGTGAAACTGCTATAATTTTCAACTGATTTTTCTTTTGCTGTTTATCCCTATAATGAAATATCCCGATTACTTAAACTTTCATGTACAGCTTGAATTGCTTCGCCGAAAAGCGTGTCGCCCTACGACAGTCAAGGAATCAGATACCATTTATGTTTAATAAATTGAATGAGATCATTGAGACAAGAATGATGATATAAACTCCATTAATTTATCTTTTTAGATATGGTTTTCTTATTTCTGTCTTTTCTATTTGTTTAATTCAAGTGTGCATTAGGAAAACGGTGGTTACGTTTAATACTTACTACCGGTATATATGTTTCTTAAAAACTATTACTTATAACTGGTTTAAAATCTGTTTTTCCGCCAAAAGTAAAAGATACTAGGTATCGTATTTCATATGCACATTTAGTCTTTTCTTTTTCTACTTTGAGAACCAGCCAAAACCAATTATAGAAGACGTTTGAAACCACCATGGATTAAAACATAGTTTGACACACGTTTGCAACGTAACAACGACGTGACAATCCTAGTATTCCTTTACACTTCTTTTATCCTTATTTTACTTTCGTTCAAGCAAACGCTCTGCTGCCTCCGTAAACCCCTATTGCGAAATGTCGGAGTTGACAGAGACAGCCGCCATTTTGGACCCACTTCAGATTTTTGAATGTTAATTTCTAGAGTTTGGATTTATCAATATTCAAACAAATTATATAGTAAGCATAATAAGAAGGGTCTCTATTAACATTCTTAAAATCAAAGAAATAATGAAAAACAAAAAAGTTAGAAAATACGGACTTTTTAATTTCGCTTCCGGTAGCAACCGGAAGTACCGACGACACACGAAAAGGTGATTCGTCACATCTAAAAGTCATCATCTATAATCTTTTACAAGTCTCCAGTTAATATCTTAAACCATTTTCGAAAAAAAGGGGGGACAAAATTGCATTTTAAAATCAGAAAAGTGTCAATAACTTGGAACCAAAGGTGAGTATTCCAAATTTTCCTATTCATGCCACAACTTCATATAATGACGCATAATTCCTGAAATTTTCACAGAAAACTACTGAATAGTTTTCGAGAAATCGCGTGCACAAAATTTTGGGGAAAAAAATAAGAATAATAATAATAATAATAACTAGAAAAGAAACTCGTTGCGGAAGCAACGAAGCAGGAATCACTATAAGGTCTTCCGTCTGAAAAAAACCCCGCAAAATCGAAAAAAAGGTGAATTAAACTTTTTATGGAAACTAAGGGAATTGAGATCTCGTTCGCCAGCGTGAATATCCAACTCGCTTACTATTACGCTATTGGGACCACATATCGTTAAAAGTAACATTTGTATATACTTCTGCACATTACATCTGTCTTGATTTTTATCAAATTTTCTGAAGATCAATTGGCAGTTAAAAATTTTGCATCAAACGCATAAAAGTAAATATTAGCGCCTTTTTTTTTAATGTTCCAAAATAATATGGGTGTGAATGTTTTTCCTTTTGTAATGTAAAAAATTTGAATTAAAAAGCGTTCTTATAGCTTAAATTTCAAATGAAAGGGCTTATGAAAAGTATATTAAACACATTTACACATTCCATGTAGTATAAAGGTATTTAGGGTCCACCACTAAATCAGTGAATTTACAAAAATGCTATGATTTTTAACATTTTTCTTTAGATTTTCTGTTTATCCCCTTATTGAACTATCCCGGTTAGTTAAACTTTCATGAAAAGGTTGAATATGTTGCAAATCGTTAAGAAAAACAAGTGTCGCCCTACAAAGGTCGAGGAATTATAAAACCATTTATGTTCAAAAACTTTTGGCCCCTCAGATATTTGAGACAAGAATTTTATATATAAACTTCATTCAACTTTTTGACAAAAAAAAAGGATTTCTTTGTTGTTTGTCTTTTCTATTTAGTTTAATATGACACAAGTGTGCATGAGCAAAACATTGGTTACTTTTGTTCAATACTTACTATATCCATCGATATTGTTTCTTATAAACTATTACTTAAAAATTGTATCTATATTGATCGTTAAGATAAATTTTTCCGAGGTGCACAAAAGATATTAAGTATCGGATTTCATTTGCACATTTAGTCTTTTCTTTTATCAAATAAAGGTTTGGGAGCCAGCCAAAACCAATTATAGAAGACGAAAGTTTGGAGATATGCTAAATGAAAATAATTAAGATGTCACAATCCAAGTATTCCTTTTACAAAAATTCATTTATCCATATGCTACCATCGTTCAAATTAAAAATTATCGAAAAATCGAGCGGAAAAAATCCGTAAACCCCTATTGCACACGAAATGTCGCAGTTCACAAGCGCTAACCATTTAGCCATTTTGGACCCGCTTCAGATTTTTGAATGCTAATATCTAGAGTTTAGATTTATCAATTTTCAAACAAATTATATAGTAAGCCTTATGTGAAGGGTTTCTATAAGCATTCCAAAAATAAATGAAAAATATTAAAACAAAAAAGTTAGAAAATACGATTTTTTTTAATTCGCAGCTCACAACGACCGGAAGTACTGACGACACATAAAAAGGTGATTCTGCAAACCAGAAAGTCATGAGCTATTGTCTCCAATAAGTCTCCAATTCATATCTTTAGCCATTTTCGAGAGAAAGGGGCGACAAAATTGCAATTTAAAATCAGGAAAATGGACATAACTTAGCACTAGAAGCGAATTTTCAAATTTCCTCCAAAGTGTATCAAGTTCATATTAATGCGCATAATTTCTGAAAATTTCATCGAAATCCACTGACAAAATTGCTGAGAAATCGCGTGCACAAAATAATTTGGGGAAAAAATAAGAATAATAATTTTCCGTTGGAATAACTAGATGCGATCTCGTTGCAAGCAACGAGTAGGTCTTCCGTCCCAATTTTCGATAAGATGAGATATGACTTTGACTATGATCTTTGATAAAACATCATGGAATCATGCCTTTTCTCTTTTGAATAAATCCTTTTGATTGAGATAATATCATCAATGCCTACTTAATTTGCACATTAATTCTTTTCTTTTTTCTACTTTGAGAAACAACCAAAACCAATTAAAGAAAACTTGTAAGGAGACCTTGGATTGTGAATGTAGTTTGACACAGAATTGCAACGAACCTACGACGTGACAATCCAAGTATCCCTACACATTTTATTGCTCCTTATGTTACTTCCGTTCAAGCAAACGCTCGGCTGCCTCTGTTAACCGCTATTGCGAAATGTCGGAATTGACAGAGACCGCCGCCATTTAGTTCCCGCTTCAGATTTTTGAATGTTAATATCTCGAGTTTGAATTTATAAATTTACAAACGAATTATATATTCAGCCTAAAAAGAAATGTTTCTATCAACTATACTAATATCATTTGAAAATATTGAAAAACAAAAAAGTTAAAGACGAGAGACTTTTGGCCCCTCTATGCCCCTAATTTGAAGGACTAACCCCGTTTACTTGATATCAAATGAAAGGTCTTACTATATTGCACATTTTTTATTATATATGTCTTAACAAAATATTAACAGGTAAAAAGATATAAAAGAAAACGTGTCAATTTTTGCGAGATGAGCATGAGGCTATTTTTCGATCCCAGGCGAGCGTCGATGCCTTCTTACCTGGAAAGCTCTATATGCAAAATGTCACATCTACTATCCTTCCTCTACCTTCACTGAAAATCTCAAGTCGATATCTTAAGTCGTTTAGGAGGACATCTCAGGACAAGCTGACCCTCTAAAAATCAGTAAATCGTCCATATCTCACGACCGGAAGTGACGACGTACTTACGAAAAATTTCCGACAAGGTTCAGATTAATATCTATCAGATCTGAAAATTTGGTGAGAATCGGTCCAGCCGTTTTTGAGAAATCGCGTGCACAAAATCGGTAAGAAAAAAAATAATAATAATAATAATAGGGAAAAAGAAACCGAACGAAAACAATAAGGTCTTCCGTTGGAGACGGAAGACCTTAATAAGAAACAATAGAATAACTATAAGGTCTTCCGTGAATAGGGAAGACCTTAATAAGAAACAGTAGAATCACTAGAAGGTCTTCCGTGAAGACGGAAGACCTTAAAAAGAATGCAGAGTACACTACAGTAAAACAGGCTTATAGCAAACATGCTTATAATAAACTGATGCAAAGTGATTTTCACTACCCATTACTTTAAAATATTTTAGGTACTTAACAGATATTAACGGACAAGTTACATATAAAACTAAGCAAAATCGTCCATCTCTGGCACTCCCGGACCCATATAACCGTGTTTTACTGTGTTTGAGAATGCCTGCATAGTGGCAGTCATGTATTTTCACATATCTAATTGCTTTTATGAGATAAGGGAATTAAACAAAATATCTGTAATATAAGTTTTCAGTGTGAAGAATCCAAGAAATTAATAATCAACAATTTTTTTCTCATGTGAAAATTCATGTGCACCAATTTTTTTTTTTCCCAAAGTTTTTTTTTGAATGAATATTTAAAATTACCTGAGGCATGGACTCTAAGTTTCCAGCTTCAATTTCTGCTGTAGCTTTCAGATAGAAATCATACATAAACCTCCCAGCAAAATACATAGCGTAAGAAGTGGCAAGTAAGGGGAATAACTTGTACTGCTGAGTTTGATAGTCTAAAATCTGTGCTTCTTCACCTCTGAGAAAAAATAAGAAAAAGAGCCATTGTATCATACAGTGTACAAATGTTGATCTTCAATTAATCAAAATGATGATCATGCTATTGAATAATCAAGCTATTAAATAATCACAGATAATGAATTGAGGACAAAGATATAAAAACAATTAACAGATCTGTAGAAAAAAAAGTTGAAGGTTTCTCTTGGTTGTATTTCATTATGACTGAGTGAAGATACCATAGGTACTCAGTAACCTAAGATTCAATAGGTATTAAATCAAACTGACAAACTGTAAATGAGAATATCTATTAGTTACCTTAAAAAATTTAAAAGAATAACAAATTATCTGATAAATAATGCATTTTTTTATGGGTATACCTATTGTAAACTTTAACATACCCTGGGGAGACCTCTGTTTGTCGTCTGACAGCGCTGTATCTAATGGAGATCACACAGGCCTGGCCCAGGGCACGTGAGGCATCAGTAACAATGGCCGCTCTCACCAGCACCATGGATCCATAGGCAATCTTAGCATTCGGGGGTTTTACAAAAGTCCCATCCTCTAGTACCTGGCCAAAAGAAAGCCAAATATCACTTAAAGCACTGAACTTAATACAAGTATACCGGTAGGTCAGATTAATGGCTAGTAACATTGTTCACTATTATTTTATAACCGTAGAGTGATATAATATACCTTGGAGTAGAGTGATATACCTTGGAGTATCTCATGAGCATGTTTTCTCTGGGTATTCTAACACTGTTCAGTCTTAAGTATCCATTGTCATTCGTACCATATCCAAACTTTGGACCAATGTCACCAACTTCTATACCTACAGAAAGCGTTTCCATAATGCTTATATAAACAAGATTCTATTTCATTTAGAGCAATAATAGTATTAGCTGTACCAGGAACTATGTTCTGGTTATTAATATCACTTTGATAATTTGTGCTTTGAAAGCAAGAAGACAATCAATACTCATTTTAAAAACAAACAATTTTTATCAAACCTGGCAAAGGCATATGTGTTTCCAGGTCCCGTATCTGCACCATGAACATGTGTATTCCACAGTTTTTTCCTTGAGTGTAGAGCTGTGCCATAACAAGGCAATGGTTTGTGGTCTTTCCCACTGAAACAAATTTTAAGTCAGGAATATGAGAGTCATCTGTCATAATTTCTAAACATCTTTATGCATACATATATATAGGGTTTATCTATCTTTTTAAAAATATATAGTAATGATACCAGAAACATACATAAAAGCCTTACCATGAACTTGTATAACAAACATAATTACAAGTGGAAATTTTAAAGAGATGCAAATTAAGTGATTTCACCTTAAAAATTGGTATTTTATTTTTAGCAAATGCAATTTTAGCAATTTCAAAATGCTCACTTAATAAATTATTGCAAATGAAACACAATTAATTTTTAGCAATATTCAATCTAGCTATCTCAGCATCCTCGATAATAACGTCAAAATTAAATCCTAGCTAAAAATTCTGTTCATATGGTACCGTAATAACCCTTATTTTTGCATATTTACATGCATTTTAACTAACTGGTATTATGCTTTCATAATAAATACTAAAATCTGATTGGTTTAGATCCATGAATCAATCCCGTACAAGTGGAAATTTTAGCTTTATATTTCTCGATCTGAAATTCAGCATCATAAATCAAGGGCACCGCAAAGTGGAGCATTCCCTCCGAAAGAGCCTATATATATTTTTTTTAATCAAAGCAGCATTCGACATTTCATACATCATTAACTCAATCCCCCACATCAAAACACACAAACAATTGTGTTACTATATTCCCTCCAACTCCTTTGGGAGGGGATGATAAATAGTGCATGTATTGGAGGGTAACAGTTGAAAAAGACAACCTTCGTAAAACCACTGTCAACCTCTAATGAAATGTCAGTTTACAATGGTTTAATTGGGATGTCTATAACTCTATTTCAACTGTAATTCTGCAATATAGACACTATTGACAGTATATATCGTGTGTTTCCCAAATCTGCAAGTCTGTGCCTTACATGACTAAAATACATGTACAAATATTTTTATCTATGTTAGTCTATATACATACAATTTCCTGGCCAGTATTTCATTGAGGTTATAGTGGGCGAGTTGAGGACAAATTCCTTGGTCTTTGGATCATATGTTGAGGTTGTCTCTAACCCTCTTATGAATGTCCCTGTGTAAACAGAGTTTGATATATTTATAAGCATTGAATTGTTGTTTTTGGATGTTGTTGGTCCTATAATAGCACCTGACTGTTTTGACAAATTGAGTACCACACGTTAGCGGGATGCGTCAATAATTTGTAAGCATGGACATGTGCTGCTATAGGAGTATTGAAAATGCATATAGTTCCTACAGTGTATTCTACCACACAGTAACAAGGTTTTTTTTGTTATATAAGGTACTGAATGTTGTAGATTCTAATGAATTTCATAAAGAAAATTACACTAAATGTAAAATCATGCAGTTGATAACAAGTATTAAATGATATAAACCCATGCTAAAAAAAATTAACAGTTACAGTACATGTATTTGTTAATAAATAGGTTACTAGTAATTCAAAACTCTTTATATACACATTGCAATGATGAGAGATATGATTGCACAATCTGTGGAGCATCTTACCATGGCCCATTTCTGTTTGAGCATACGTTCCGATCATTTTTAGGCTTTCTGCTAGTGGCAGCCATCTTTCTCGCTGTTCTTTCGTTGCCTGTTTTTCTATGGTGGGAATAAACATCACTGTGTGAAGACCAATTGGACTGTTTTCATGTGAGGCCACAGCTCTGTGTAAAAATAGAACAATTAAGTTATGTATGCTTTTTATTTTAATGAGAAGTTTATCAAAATGAGACTCCAAATTCATAAACAGGTACATACTCTTGATAGTAGAATCTATCAGCCGGCTCTGTAATTCCATGCTCTTTCATTTTTTTATTGATGTAAAGAAATTTGCACAAGGCAATCTCATACTGTTCCTCTCTAGTCTGGAATGCCCAGGGCTTAGCTTTTTTAAACTCAGGATCTTTTATGGCCAAGTTATCTAAAAATAAAATAATTAAAATGTAAATAAATGTATGATTTGACTGGTATAGGAGAAACACATACATTACATTTACCAAATTATCTGTCTATTTAAAGAAACAGACCCTTTTTAACTAAATTAATAGTTATCTAGCTGCAGAACTGTAGCTCTCCAAAAAATATATATTGACAGACCGGAGAGCTACAGTGCCACCCACTGAAAAAACTATATATCTATTGCGCAAAAAAAAGTGCGCTGTTTCTATATTTATTTCTCCATATTTTTAAAGCTGTCATCTCAAAATATTCCTAACCATGTGATCCTAACATATTCTTTCACTGTTTCCTCAACATAGTTGTTGTTAATAGCCCTCCTGGCCCTGATATTGAAATGATCGAAAAGTTCGCCTATTTATACTGCCAGTTTGGTTTGCAAGATAATTTGGTCAAACGCACTTCGTGCAGATGTCAACTACCAAAGTATTTGATAGAGAAGTAAAGAATTTTAAAAAATCAAGCTCTTTAGCAATTGAGGTAAGAATTTGAAAGAATTAATCCACAACTGAGCGCACTCTTTTGTGCGCAATAAATATACAGTTTTTTCAATGGGTGGCACTGTAGCTCTCCGGTCTGTCAATATCTATTTTTCGATGAGCTACAGTTCTGCAGCTAATAGTCATCACGAAAAAGCATGATTTCTTGAAAGAATACTGGTAGTCTGAAATATCTAAGTTTTCCAGGCTGTTCTACAATTTTGATATTTCACGTGCTATGAAAGATTAGGAAAGAAGGGAATGACTGGAATAATTAGTAGAGTCTAGAACTGAAGATTTTAGTTGCTTTGCCCCCTCCCCTTTCCCATCCTGGGCTCTAATCGGAAATTAGGCCTGAACAATAGGGGCAAACTTGGCAGCCTCATATCCCTGCCAATTCTCTATATACACTACACTTCTAGGTTGACTTTGTCCTTCCTGCTTCTTAAAATTTCATAATCACTCAAAAGGAATATGCCTATGATATTATAAATCTGCTGTTCTCTTAACAAATCAAATATAGGAATAGGGCATAATGTTTTAAAAACATGTGCAGAATCCCTTTTTCATTAGAGATTGAAATACTTTTTGTACATGCTGAGAAAATAACACATTTAAGAACAAGAGGCCCATGGGCCACATCGCTCACCCGAGAAGCTTTGACCATTCCATTCTTTACCAGATTTGCCCCTTGTAATAATAAAAATATTCCTAGATTCTCATCCCCGCCCGCCCCGATTTTATACCCCCACCTCGATTTTTTTTTATTTCTGTTTTTCTTCATCTTAATTGTGATCGAGATCGGTATTCATCTACCATTCTACTTTCGTTTTAAATCCCACGAAGTCGACATGATTTTGACAGGTGAAAAGATGGTAATTGCTGTAATACATGCGTATATATTTTAAACAAGGGTCATTGGTTGAAAAAGATTGGTGATGATGTGAAGTTAGAGATGACTGAACCTTTACTATGACTTTTATTCGGGTATTGTAGATAAAATTACACTGATTGACCAGGTCAATAAAAAATCTACAAAATTTGAAAAAATAAAAAATATAAAATAAAAGCTGCCCACCCGCCTCGATTTTTAAAAAAAATCAGATGAGAATCTAGCAATTTATTTATTATGGCCTAATACATATTGTGACCCCACCCTACCCCACTGATCATAATTTAGACAATTTGAAATCTACACTACCACAAGATGCTTTGATTCACCAAGAAGATTTTCAAAGATATTTCGTATATATTTTTATGTTAAACTTTGATTCCCCATTGTGGCCCCACCCTATCCCCGGGGTCATGATTTGAACAATTTAGAATCTACACTACCCCAGGATGCTTCCTTATACGTTTCAGCTTTTCTGGCTCAGTGGTTCTTGAGAAGATTTTTTAATGACCCTACCCTATTTTTGTCTTTTCTTGATTATCTCCCCTTGTGATGGGACTTGGCACTTCATTTTAACAATTTAAATTCTCCTTCACCCAAGGATGCTTTGTACTAGCTGCAGATCTGTGGTTCGCCGAAAAAATATATATTGATAGCTACAGTGCCACCCATTGAAAAAATTGTATATTTGTTGCGCATAAAAAAGTTCGCTCGTTTCTTGATTAATTTTTCCAAATTCTTACCTCAATTGCAAAAAATGGAAGATTTCAAAAAATTACTCTCTCCTCTAGCAAGTTCTCTCGTAGTTGACATCTGAACGAAGCATATTGGACCGAATTATCTTTGAAACCAAAATGGCAGCATAACTAAGCGAAATGTCCGCTGTTGCAATATCAGGGCCAGGAGGACTAGTTAACAATAATTATGAGGAATGTTTTGTTGTGGAAAGAGTCAACTTTATGTTAGGAACACACGGTTAGTAATATTTTGAGATTACAGCATTAAAAACATGGAGAAATAAATTGAGAACTGAGCGCATTTTTTTGTGCGCAATAAATATACAGTTTTTTCAATGGGTGGCGCTGTAGCTCTCAGGTCTATCAATAATTTTTTTCTGGAGAGCTACAGATCTGCAGCTAGCTTTGTACAAAGTTTGGTCAAAATTGGCCCAGTGGTTCTTGAGAAGAAGTTGAGAAATGTGAAAAATTTACATACAGACAGACGGACAGACAGACAGCTAGATAGACAGACGGACGGACAGACGACGGACAAAATGTGATCAGAAAAGCTCACTTGAGCCTTCGGCTCAGGTGAGCTAAAAATGTGATAAAATAGCTAAATAGCTTTTCTGAATAGTTTAATAAAGCTATGCAGCTGAATCAATTTAAACTAAAGAGCTAAATCAAGAGATATTTATAAACCAAACAGGTACTTGGGTCTTGGTTTATAAATATGCATGTAAGACTAAGAGGGTGATCAAAAAGTTCACAAACTAACTGAAAAACTTCCAATAAAGAAATGATATAAGTTTTCAGTGTTGAAAAATTTTCAAAGTAGTCCTCTCCGATTTTAATGCATATCTGCAATCATTCTGCCCATGTGTGGACCACATGATATAGGCGGTCACGTGACATGCTTCGTGGCGTTCTGTCAAAGAGGCTTAAAATTTTTCCCGACTCATATATTTCTTACTATGCTCATGATGCTAGTTATTTTTTACAACAGAAACAGTGCATTTGTCAGAAATGGCCTAATCTCGGCAATTGTATGGGTGGATAATGATATCCTTTTGCAGAATGACCATCAAAACCCAAGATCTCGTCTTTTGAGCGTTGTTTATTTCATGTGGATAAAGTATGGGTGCCTTCAATTTATCATATCTGATATGTTTAAAGTCTAAGGTGAACGATATTTTAGGGATTTAATAATTATATTATTGTAAAGTTATTTATCTATTTTTTTAACTGTATGTTGGCGATCTTTCATATCAAATTGCTTAACAAAGGACAAGTCTCTCCGTTTTTGCTTTCACTTGGCAACAGAACAAATATCATTTTTAAACAACTCCCTTCCTTCACTTAAACATTCAATCAATAAACTTCTGCACTTTAACTTTACAGTCATTCGTTTCTCGAATACGACTGAGTCAACCATTTTTTGTCACAAGTGATCTACCTTATCACGTCATTTTCACATTGTGACGTCACAAACACGAGGCAAAAAGTTCCATTAGGCCAGGTAAAATTAATCTTTAGATTCTCATCCTAATTTGCTAAAAAATTGGGGCGGGTGGGCGGATTTTATTTTTTATTTTTTATAATTGTTAAATTGTAAGTATTAAAAAAAAATGAACTTTTCGTACAGATTTTTCTTTTCATTATATTATATAATAATGCCAATATGGATAGATCTTATTCTTTTCCTTTTCTTTTAAATATTTAAAGAAGATTCTTGCTTTAAAGAATTAAATATTCATTGTTAATTAACAAATTATCAAGTACACATTATACGGCAGATGCTAAACAAAATGAGGTGGGGATAGCAAATAAAATGTGTGTGCATGACTTCTCATCGCCTTTCCCCAGATACCTTTTAATTTTACCAACACATCCCTATGTTTTCTGTAAAATATAATAAATTTCCACCTTCCTCAAAAATTTTATCGTTCTTGAGACTTGTTGGGTTCGACATTAAAATAGGTTATATTTGCAACATAGGCGTCGGAACCGGGGGGGGGGCTAGGGGGGGGCTTAGCCACCCCACTTTTTTTCCAAATGTATACTTAGTATAGACATTGAACATATCTTCGTAAGTTTAGCCCCTCCACTTTCCACAGATACGTCTTAGTATAGGTTAAAAATGGGGAAAGTGGTGGTGTTTGGAAGAAAATTTTTTGTACTGGAGTTCGAATCTTCCCCCCCCCCCCCCCCCCCAAATAGGATTTTCGTGTTTGGGAAATAAACATTTCCTCTTTTTTTACTTGTCAGGTTTTTTGAGGTACAAAATTTTTTTTTACACTTAGCCCCCCCACTTTCAATTTGCTTCCGATGCCAATGTGCAAAATCTATCAAATGTTCTAACAAAATATTGTACTGAAAAACTAAGGCCTGAACAGTTGATAGATTTAATATTTCCTTGGCACTTAGATTGACTTAATATTCTCTAATGTCTGCCTACGATTTTTTTTTCAAAGCAAAACCACACAGAGCTGGAGATCGGTACATGTATAACTTGACCAGGTGTCATTTTCGTCTATTTTAACTTATTACAAAATCTCTCTAAAACTAGGTCATACCAGTGATGGTATCTAGATGTGTTTATGCTATTTTTTCTTCTATGCCTTCTCTATACTGACAAATTATCTTTTCCTTACATATATTTAAACTGCTTTTATTGCCGATTTTTCTCCATTCTCCACATGGTTCTTTTGCCATAAATAGCGGCACGCGACTATTAATACAGACGGGAGATAACTCTCAAACTTTGACCCAAATTCTTGCTGTTTAAAAATACATGAAAATACTTTTATTAACTCACAAAAATCAAAATAAAAAACATCGGGGCGGGGCATTTTGAGAGGGGCGGGCGGGGATGAGAATCTAAAGATTAATTTTATCTGGCCTTACATATACTATTTATAGAACATCATGGACATGTGTATGACTCTATGTGTGCCAAATTTCATTCTGATCTGAATTGTGGTTTTGTAAATAGAGAGATAGTTTGCAAACTTTTTGATCACCCTCATACCTTATTTATAAACCAAGACCTAAGTACCTGTGTATCCAAGTGCCTGTGTATGTGAATTTTGTAAAATGAAGTAAAGAAATTATATACATGAGGTATTTCGGATAAAAATACGAAATGTGAAATATATTCTATACAAGCAATGACAAACAACAACAGAAGTACGATAGAAATAACTTATGATTCTGGCTACATGTATACAGGAGTGTAGGTTCAAAGTCCAAAACATTAAAATGTTCTTAAAAATAACCTGAAAAAAATTTGAGCTGTCGACAAAAATCTTACGTAAATATCTTCTTCTTTTCACCTTCTCAGGACCTCTATATATAAAATTTGTAAGTTGTTCAACGTCAAAAGAAGCATTTTTTCTTTCTTTTGCAAGATCCGAATTTACTCCTTCCATGGTCGCCATCTTTGGAGAGTCGATAATAGTTAACTCTTACATAGAATAGGTCGTGTCACTACTTCTTGAACTCCCTACAAATCTTACGTTCAGATCACAGGCACCTGACGTTACTTATTTTTCTTTTAATAAAAAATATACCCTTACCTTATAATAAACCGTTTATTATAAGGTAAGGGTATATTTTTTTTATTAAAAGAAAAAATAAGTACACTGTAACGTCAGGTGCCTGTGGTACAGATGTCTAACTTAATTTAAAACCTTGACGACGCCTCAGTCAGTATCACTTCTATTTAAATAGAGATTATGAACGCAAATCGTACTTCAATTATGATTTCCATTTCGTTGTGTAAACTTGATGGATACATGTACATGTTTAGAACCGTGACCTCCCATATAATCATGATAATCATACTGGTTCATTTCTCTGTCATGTATACATAGAGTACACATACATATACGTCAATATCACAAAATGCCAACTGCTTTTGAAATGGGAGTCCTAAAATTACCCTTACCAAAATACTCACCTTCTGGCAACATCTTCTGGCAAACATTCTGGCAATACATTGCAGCAATATCGCGGCAATATCGTTTTTCGTATGTAAATTAGATTTGTGGCAATATTCCCAGAAAGGTGTTGCGGCAATATTGCTGCAAAGCAATTGCAGTACATGTATTATTTCAGGTTTTGCTGCAGCAATATTGGGGCAACACTGCAGTACTATATACCTATATAAATTGGTATTTAATAGAAAAAATTATCTGTCAGTCTAACAATTAACAAATTGTGCTGAGGAACATAAAAATCAATAGCATAATAAGCTACAGAGTCAGTAAGAAATAGCTACTTAAGCTTATGTATTCTTTGAAAAGATAGAAAAATTTTGT